CTACAGCTAGTAACAACTTCATTACCTATATGCTCAATCTTTTGAAATTGTACAAATTTCAAAAGGTAATCGTAGGTATATAACGTTGTGGTGGCAGATGTGGATGCAAAAATTTAGATTTAGATGCTCTAAAACATTCAGACACCGCCGTCATCAGTCACTTTTAAACGTGGAATCAATTGTTGAAGATGGAGATTTAAATACGGAAATGAGAACACTCGATGTTAAATACTCAACTTAGGCAGTCAAAGAAACTAAAATTTAGATTAGATTATCATGAAGCTAGCCCATGGTCTGATTCACTGCGACCTTTTCAGATATATTGCTCCTTGGTTGTGAGAGCCCATTGTCTAGCTTGATCTCTTTGAGGAGACTCCATAGCCTTGACACTGACCCCTTCATATAGCTGGCAGCCTCTGGTTTTTCTTCCCCGCATCTTACGTGTCAGCCTTGCTATCGCTTCGCATTCACAGAGCACATGCATTGCGTTTTCTTCCTCTTCTTGACAGAACATTTATTGGGTTTCTTCTGTCAGACCAATGTTGCTCATATGTTTCCTGAGCTGACTATGCCTTGTTACTAGACCCACCACTACCCTTACAAACTGAAGATACCAACGGATAATTTACAAAAAATAATTAAAAGCAAAAATTATATTATTCATTACTTGAACGTGAAATACCATTTATTACTCAAATTGAAAAGGTAACCTTTTAGGAGAGATTATTTTTTTAGGAAACAAAGGTTTTGGCTTTCTACTTCTCCATTTTGAAATAAGAAAATGTGGGAATCTACCGAAGAAAAGAAGGAAGCAATCAATTTCAAAAAATCAACTCTATACAAACTAGAAGAGAAAGCCCTCCCGAAACAGCTATCTTCATATAAACAATGAATTACACTTTCGAAACAAATACTTTCATAAGAACGCTGAATTATACGAAAAACACTTTTCTCTATTCCGTAAATTCAATGATATCTGATTAGACTTCATTACGAATTTTTGGAATACATTGCATTATACCTCTGAGGTGACGCGGAAAGATGTGCAAAAAACTGATTTTTCCGACTTTTGATCTTCAATAATTTTTTATCCGACCCGATATCAATGTTTAATTTGCAAATTGTCAATAAAAAAACATAGTAAAGGTAGGTATATACCAAAATTCAACTTACTAGAAATTTTTCTACAGATGAAATCTATTTTGACTGGACTATTGTCCGGCCATTTGATGTAAAGTTAGAAGTAGCACAAAAATTGTATTGTTAAGGTATAGAATATTTGTTATTTTTCAACGATTGTAGACTGACTGTAGAAGTTTCACTCTTTTCCGAAGGTAAAGTTATGGGTACTTCATTTTGCTTCATTATCTTTTTAATATATGAAGCATAATTTATGCAATAAATCCAAATCAGTTGTACGGTTCAGGATGTCTTTAGGTATTTTCTTATTGATTGATGTTATTGGAAACTTTCCTTTCCCGATGAACCTTCTCCTTTTCTTGTATTGCATCATCAGTAAAAACGTTTTCTCTATTGAAATATTTGCTTTGAATGATGTGTAATCGAATATCCAGACTTATAATTTGAAATGTCTCATTGTTTCTAATTTTTTCGATATGAGTAACATCACCCATCGCAGCAGACATTGTGAAATTCAATTTACTTTTCAATTTCATTCCAAATTTCAAACAGTGAATCACATTTTTATTGGCAAATGCCTGAACCATAACCTGATCAGTTAAAGGGTTATTCAATATCTTTTTCAATATGAAAATTTTATATTGAGTATGTAAATTTTCATATTTCATTCAACTTCTTTATGAGGTGGACAATGTAACCTTCAAAATGATAGACTGAAAGTAGTTTTTTGTTTTATTAGGATAAAAAGTGATGTTTTGTGTGGCGATCTGTAGTGGGGTCCATCAACAATACAAGCTACTCAATACCGTTTTTATAAAAGTTACTATATTTGCTTGAAAAGTGTTCTGGAGTTAGATCAATTAAAATAATTGTAATTATTACTTCTAATGTCGGCGGCTTCGGAATCGTAACCACGGTGATGATGAGGGGAAAATAAATAATGCCCATTCAAATTCGATAAAAATTATCACACTCACATTATTAAATCCAACTCTTGAAAAAGAAACAAAACGCGAACCACTGCACGCTCAAATACTAGATCTTTACCACGCTGAAAGGCATCAATAAACATTCAATTTCTCTAGTGAATGGATCAACATACCTACTCAGCAGCTGCTAACGTTCACTGCGATCAAGTAGAATTTGTAAATGTCAATGTTGGTAAGATTCAGCATGCATTGCAAAATATCATCATTCAATCGACTAATGGAGCGTCAATCAAACTCATCTAAACATATCGATTGCTATTTTTTATTTTCGTAATTCGATATGAAACGCACGCGGTTAGGCCGAGTCAATTCTATTTTATATTAGATTAGCATTAAATTGGTCGGAGGGTAACTGAATTATTCACTTGATTTAACAATGTCGAGATTAATGAGCTTCGAAATGCAAAAGATTTAGATTGATTATAAAACTGAATAGTGAGCTATCACCGAAATGATATTTTGTGACATTTCGACGAACTGAAATATGGGGCTAGTAATTTCAACTACGTTCGACGAAGGATCGAGGATTTAACCTTGAAAGTGTTAAAACGAGAAAATAAGTTTCAAACTTGAATAGCATTGTGTCGGGTGCTAGATTTTTCTAACCTGTTCATTTCTCACAAGCCCCATGGAAATGCTGGAGCCTCGTGGCTCTAGTATGTTTTTGAAAATCTTCTGATCGTCATTCCAACATTTTTTCCCCATTACTAATTTGTACAAGCTTTTGTTAGCTGTTAGTAACTGTTTGGGCAAACTACTTATTTTCGGCAAAATAAGATTCTATTTGACTTTTCTGCTTTTTAATCAAAAACAAAACTGACAACAATAATGGTAACTATATAAAACAATAAATAATCTCAACTTCAATACTAGATGTGAAATTAATTCACAACATCCTCCGGGGCTCGCAAATTACTGCTTTGGCTTCAACAAAATGATTTTTGTGATAGGACGACGATAAACTCCTGTTGCTGTAGTCACTTCGACTACCCGTACTCTGCCATCGGGACCAGGACAAATTCGCGTAACCTTTCCTCTTGGCCATGAGTTTCTGGGAAAACTATCATCCGCAATAATGACGATGTCTCCTTCTGCAACATCGCTACTATTGAACTGCCACTTGCTTCTCTTTATCAGCGAGGGTACATATTCTCGTATCCACCGTTTCCAGAAAAGGTCCGCATATCTTTGTGCCACTCGCCATTGTTTTCTGAGATGTGAATTTGTATCAGCAGAAATACCTAGTGGATTCACTTCATTGGACTTTCCAATAAGGAAGTGATTGGGTGTCAAAGCTTCCACATCTTGATGATCAGAAGACACATAAGTTAAGGGATGGCTGTTCACTGTATACTCAATTTCAACTATAAGAGTATGCAAAATCTCTTCTTTTGGGCTCTGTTGGGTAAGAATTACTTTTAGGGCACTTTTAACAGATTTAATCATTCTTTCCCATATTCCTCCCATATGACTTGCTGCCGGTGGATTCTTGAACCATTTTATATGACGAATGCAGCAAAACTGTTGAATTCGGTTTGAATCTAGTTCTTTGATGGCTTGTTTCATTTCTTTTTCAGCTCCGCAGAGGTTTGATCCATTATCAGAGTGTATTTCTGATGGATTACCTCTTCTACAAATGAATCTACGAATTGACATGGTGGCAGAATCCGTAGTAAGGGAAGAAGCCAGTTCTAAATGAATTGCCCTCGTTGACATACAGGTGAAGATAACCCCGTACCTCTTTTCCTTCCTTCTACCAATTGTTACTGTCATTGGGCCAAAATAATCCATGCCTGTAATCATGAATGGCCTGCATTGTTGTACTGTTCTAAAGTCGGGAATTAGTCCCATCTGCTGAGTTTCAACCCTGCCGTTTTTCTTCTTACATATAATGCAGGATGATATACAAGCTTTAACTGCTGATCTAACGTTGATTAATTATCCAAAATCTTTTCCTCAAATCGTTTATGATTTGTTCTCTTCCCTGATTATAATTCAGTTTATGATAATGTCTTATCAACAACTTGGTCATCCAGTTTCTTGAATCCAGAACAATTGGTTGTCTCATATTGATATCTAAGTGTTGTGCTTCATCCAATTGTCCGCTTAGTCTCAAAATATTGTCTTGGCCGATAAATAAATTCAAATTTCGAAGACGACTTTGTTTTCTAGGATTCTTCATACGATTGAGTCTCTCAATATCTTCGAAGAAACAACTCATTTGTGATTGCCTAATAATTTCAAGTTCAGCCTTTTCAAATTCTTCAACCGTTAGCTCTGTGAAAATCTGAGGAGTTGGTAGACCAATTTTCTTCTTCATGGGATGAATGAATCTTATCACCCAAGCGACTGATCTGACAAGTCGTAAATAATTCGAAAATCTTGAAAAATTGATAATTTCTTCACATCTCTTGTTGATTACAAAAACAAAATTCTTCTTTTTTCATCATGTACCATGTACCATCTTCTATCTTTTCTTCAGCATGAGGCCATTTAATCTCTTCTGAAGTCAAGAACTGAGGACCTTCAAACCAATTCTGAAAGTTATCAATGTTCCAGACACCCCTGGTCGCTACATTGAACTTTGTCGGTAGCCAATGCCATTCATCAGGATTTGTATTATTAGAAATTTCTCCAATTCTGTTGGCAACAAAAGTCTTATAACTCCTTGGGTGCGACTTAATCCAACTTAAAACTATTTTAGAATCAATCCAAAAGAATTTTTTATCTATTTTTATGCTGTGGCCATTTTCGATAGTTTTAGCCAATCTTGATCCAAGAAGAGCTGCTTGAAGTTCAATTCTAGGTACTGTCATGGGTTTGAAGGAAGTGACTCTTGACCTAGCCATTACCAAAGACGTTTTAATCTGATCACTGGAGTCTTTCATTCGAAACAGTATGTAGTTGAATTTCAACAATTTGACTGCTGAATCCATACCATCGAGGAATTCTCAAATTTTTTATTTTATACACTGCAGATAGCCAAGATTTCCATTTTCTAAATAGATCAGGAGTGATTTTATCATCCCAAGCAATTTTATGTGACCATACTTCCTGCATCAAAATTCTGGCTTGTATAGTAAAAGCTGCTAACAGACCAAGTGGATCATAAACTGACATTACCACTTTCAATAGTTCTCTCTTCGTGGGAATATTGTCTGTTACAATTATTTTTACATATTTTTTCAAAAATGTATCAGGAAAACTGAGAAGATCATCTTTTGTATACCATATTAAACCTAAAATTCTTTCAGACGTGGGTAACTTTTCAGTATCGGTACTACTTTTGGATAGTATTTCAGCAGGTATATTTGTCAGGACATGACTAGAATTGCTGACCCAGTTTATCATTCTGAATTTGCCTTGATTATGGATGTTTATGACTTCGTGAACAATTTCAATGGCTTCTGCTTCGTTTTCAAAACTGTCTAAGTAATCATCCATGTAATGATATTTTTCAATAGCTTTCACTGCTTCTGGATATTTCTTTCCATGTTTTTCAGCATTTTCACGAAGGACGTAGATCGCAGAGCTTGGAGAACAGATTGCTCCGAAAATCATGGATTTCATTTGGTACGTAAGGATAGGTCCGTCTTTATTTCTTCCCCTCCACAGAAAACTCTGCGAATCTTGATCTTCATTTCGTATGTATATCCTCAAAAACATTTCTTCGATGTCTCCCATTACAGCTATTCGATTTTGACTAAAATTGAATAAAATGTTTACTAAGGAATTCAAAAGTTCAGTGAATAATCTATTCAACGCGGTAGCTCTGCTCTCTGGCAAATCGATATTTTCTTTCTTCCAAAGCAAACCAATTTCCCAGTGGTTATTCTCTACTTGGCGAGTTGGAACTTCCATGAGTTGGAACGGTTCTTTTCCATGAGTTTCTTCCATGAGTTGGAACGCTTTTTTGTCTTCTTCTGAAATATGATTGAATTTGTCATTTTCAACTCCCAAATTATCCATCAGAATAGTTTCATTCATTAGTTCTTTCAATTCGTCATCTTCAGAAACATCATTTTTCATATAACATGTCATAGAATAATGAGAGTCGACTCGATGTTTGAAATATGAAGAGTTTCCATGAACCACCCATCCTAATTTGGATTTTGAAATAACAGGTGCATTGGGAGGCCCCTGTATAACATCTCTGACTATTGTTAAATCGATGTGGTCCTGGCCAATCAGAATCAGCGGTTTTGCATTCCTGAGATTGACCAATGGAATTCGTGACAGATGATTCCAAGTTGTCGCTAAATTTTTGACATCTACAGATTGAACAGGAAGCTTCAAATTTGAAACTGTTCTTACATTTGACATGTCAAAAATTTCCTGATTGAGCGTTCCCTGAATTTTCAAATTGACACGTTTCGATTTGTCGTCTGTATAGGAAGTACAATTGGTCCAATACATTTTTAATGGATCATTTACACCATCCACTCCTATCTCCTCGGCAAGGTTGGAGTCCATCAATGTAACCGTGCTTCCTTCATCAAAGAGCGCATATGTTTTCATCGACTTTTTGGGGCCGATGACAGTGACAGGAACTATTCGAAGTAAAACGGTTTTATATTCGGTTTGAATCTGAAGAAAATGCTCATTATTAAAACAATCAGGATTCTGTGATTCCTCTTCTTTCTTCTCAGCTGTGATATTGGAAGCGGCTAACTGAGTTTGCAAGTTGTATCCCTGCAATTGGTTTGGATTTACAACACTATTCGGGTGGAGTAAGCGATTATGGTATTTTTCGCATTTCTGCAGACCACAACGTCTTCGATTTTTACATTTGAAAGTACGATGAGACGAATTGAGGCAAGAAAAGCAAACTTTTTGTTCTTTCACCCATTCCCATCTCTTATCAGTGTCGAGACGCAGGAAATGGTCGCATTTGTATATGGAATGAGTAGATTTAGAGCAAAATCGGCAGTACTTTTCCATTGATGAGTTTTCTGTTCCAATGAAAACGTTCGTTTTATTTTTCTTGTCCATATACGGGACTGTTGATGCAGAATGTGAAATAGAAGGTTTACATAACAAACAAGCTGCTGAAGATTCTTCTTGTAACCACTCTGAAAACTCTTTCAACGATGGTGTAGGTATGTCTTTGTATTTCTTGACAATAATTCTTGCCCACTGGAACTGAAGGTGTTCTGGCAATTTTTGAACGAGCTGACTAAGAAGTTGGCTATTGTTGATATATGTTTCCATTTTCAACGATTTTGCAGTGACAGTAAGATTAAGAACCGAATTGGCAAATTTTATAAAGGATATTGGAGAACGAGTATTCACGGGTGGTAATAATTTCACTTTATTCATCATGGATTCCATTATAAATTCAGGTCGTCCAAATCTAGCCTCTAACGTCTTAAGTATGTCATTGAGATTATCTGGAGATACAAATAGTGGCTTCACTGCATCTAAAGCTTCATTTTTCAGGGCTTTTTGTAAACGTAGCAAATTTTCTTCATCAGAGTAAGCACATGTTTCAGTGGATCGTTGATATAGAGAAATAAACATCGGCCAATCCTCAACATTTCCGTAGAAATAAGGAAGTTCTTTCCCCACAACATTCCTGCAGGATACCTTAGAAGATTCGTTGTGGATTTGATTTTGTTTGGTTACTGATTTGAAAGCATCTGTCATTGCTGAAGTGAATTCTTTCATAAACTGATGTGTTGTGATAGGTTCATTCATTAATTTTTCGGTTTCTGGGTTTGACTGCTTTGAATACAGAAAACTATTTTCCAATAACCAGTCAACAACTTTGACATGAGTATTTTCTATTGAAATATCTGATAACTTGGCGTATCGAAGAGAATTCATTTTGCTACTTCTTTCAATGCTTTTTTTATGTATGCTACTTTCCACACTTTCACTTTGCTCACTACTACTTTCAATGCTTTTTGAAGATTTTTCTGCTTCTATAGACGTTTGAATCTCCAAAATAGCTAGCTCTCTTTCAGTTTCACGTTCTAAATGTTCTAATTTTTGTTGTTCGAATTTCAATTGCCTATCTTCTAATTCTTTCTGTAGTTGATTTTCAGCCTGCAACTTCTTTAACTTCAATATTTTCAATTTACTTGCAGTTGATCTACTTGACTTGATAGATTTTGATGACTCAACTGATTCATTTGGCGTATATTTCGACGGCGGGATTCCAGCAGTGGCTCTGCTAGTTCTTCGAACAGCACCTTCCTCTCGTGACATCATTCAATTGGGGTTTTACAAATTTGACAGCAATCAATAAAAAAGCTACTGAACAAAACTCGAAGGACCAAAATGTTTGGGCAAACTACTTATTTTCGGCAAAATAAGATTCTATTTAACTTTTCTGCTTTTTAATCAAAAACAAAACTGACAACAATAATGGTAACTATATAAAACAATAAATAATCTCAATTCCAATACTAGATGTGAAATTAATTCACAACAGTAACTTATGCTAATTGTATATAATGTCCTAGTACCACTTGTTTATCGTTGTTTATCTTTATTTTATGTCTATTTCCTGGAAAGGGCAAACTCTTCGAGAATCAAAGAACTAGATCAAAATCATCCGGAAAAAACAGGTTTCACAAAAAACAAAAAGTTATGGTTCAAAATTGTGAATTAAAGCGTAGTCCGCACAAAATTATTCCAATGTCAAAAACTAATCTGATTCAAAACACGTTTCTGGATATATTGAATAAACTCTTAATGTTACAGAGTTCGGTGTATATTAAAATTGATATTATAAGACACCTAAAGAAATAATTCCAACCTTAGACAAAAAAGAACTTCAAGGGGTAGGATGATGGCAAACCCACCAGATGTAGATGTTGGTCAGTTTCATCATTTTGGTTTTCAACATTTTATGGAATTTCAATAATAAAATCTCATAGAATATGATTCCTAACGAAAAAAGTCAGGTCTGATAATAACGTAGCAATGGATATATACCTATTAGAATATAACTTTTTCGTTTGTAATTTATTGGAACAATATACATACCAAAAATGTTAGTAAGTGGTTACTACCTCACAATAGATAATATAGAGCAGTTCTGACACCTTCACTTTTTCAGTGACACAGAAAAATGAACATCGTAGTGTTTTCGACATTTTTTAGTGAGAAAGAGGTACAATTCAATGTCAAAGTCCAAAAAATATCACCATCTATTAAGATTTTCCAGTTAAATGAAGCAAAAATTTGCATTAAAAGAAATAAGAAAAATTACGTAGATAAGTGAATAATTACAATTTTCCAATTTTTATTCAAAAACTTGGTAAATTTCGTCGTTTATCTCTCAATAAGTCGAGTTGTTTGATAGTAGTTCTATTTATGATGCACTGTTTGGAACACCTTTGAGGTGTTAAAATAACGTTTTGGTGTTGGTAAAAAACTCCAGAGTAATATTTAATAGTTCTATTGATGACGTCATAGTGCCGCCATATTGAAGTTGTAGAAAGCTACTGCTATGCCGCCTTTTTGAATGAAAATAGCCTTAAAAAAACAATTTTATTTGAATTGAAGGGGTTATACTTTTAGGAGTGATAAATTTTTGGGAAAGAAAGTTTTTGGCTTTCTACTACTCCATCTAGATACAAAAAAAAGGATGAGTGAGTCTTCCAAAGAAAAGAAGGAAGCAATCAAATTTGAAAATGAGTAACTCTATACATGGATGTGTAGATCATGCAAAGAAGTAACTTTCAGACACAAACTGAAAGAAAGTCCTGAAATAGCTACTTTCATATAAACATTGAATTATACGAAAGAAAAAAATTCTTTCGAGACAAATACTTCTATATGAACACTGAATTATACAGAAGATACTTTTCTCTACTCAGTTTGTATTTCAAACATTCGTTGTGGAATAAAAATCAGATATCATTCACATGAGTTCTACTTTAAATGAATGGTAACAAATTGCACTTACATAGAACACTGTCATCCTCACTGGTATACACCGATGTTTCACCTTAAGACACTTGCCCTAAGGCTCTTCAGTACCAAATTGGATAACATTATATAAAATACACACACTTCATTCATGAATTACGATTTTTTAATGTCACGGAATGAGCTTGATCTGCTTATGTCATCGATTGGCTGGGATTAAATCAAATAGGTGAATGAATGTCATTACGATGTCATCGATGACATAAACAGATCAAGCTTCTTCCGTGACATTGAAAAATCGTAATTCATAAATGAAGTGTGTGTATTTTCTATAATGTTGGTACTGAAGAGCCTTAGGGCAAGTGTCTTAAGGTGAAACATCGGTGTATACCAGTGAGGATGACAGTGTTCTATGTAAGTGCAATTTGTTACCATTCATTTAAAGTAGAACTCATGTGAATGATATCTGATTTTTATTCCACAACGAATGTTTGAAATACAAACTGAGTAGAGAAAAGTATCTTCTGTATAATTCAGTGTTCATATAGAAGTATTTGTTTCGAAAGAATTTTTTTCTTTCGTATAATTCAATGTTTATATGAAAGTAGCTGTTTCAGGAGAACTTTCTTTCAGTTTGTGTCTGAAAGTTACTTCTTTCCATGATCTACACATCCATGTATACAGTTACTTATTTTCAAATTTGATTACTTACTTCCTTTCTTTGGAAGATTCCCTCATCCTTTTTTTTGTATCAAGATGGAATAGTAGAAAGCCAAAAACTTTCTTTCCCAACAATTTTATATTCGATCAAATGGTCAACAAAAATTTACAGAGTTCCATTCTTGACTTGGATTCATTTTTGGTGAACCATGTACATATTTTCAAGTGAAAAATGAGAAATGAAATTTCCTATGTTTTTTTACGTATTATATACAAGTGTACATAAGTATACATTTGTATATAAGTATACACTTGTCTGCAAGTGGTACAAAACAGAGGAAGTTTTATTTCTCACTTTTCATGATGATCTCCTACCGCGTAGTAATAGCTACATCCGTAAATTTATAGATTACCAAGTAATTCATCAGCAGAAATATCGGCTTTGATAAAATACACCACTATTCCGAATTTCAAATTTCGTACCACATGAACAATTTAATGGCGCAATGTACAATGATTTCGTTGTCACCTGGTATATACGAGGGGTACTATTTATATTTCGGGAATAGTAAATAATAACAAACATTTTTTGATGGGAAATATTCCCCTTGATGATCAATACACTTTTGCATTCGTTCAAACCATTTGTCACAGCAGTTTTTCCATTCCTCTTGAGACACCTCCAAAACACGGTTTTTGAACGCTCGTAAATCGTTGACCACGCAGTTTACCTTCGATATTCGAGAACAAGAATAAATCATTGGGTACCAAATCAGGACTATACGGAGAATGAGTCATCAATTCGATGTTTTGACTGCTCAAAAATTCACCTGTTTGACGAGATGTGTGAGAGCTCGCATTGTCATGTTGGAGAATAATTCGTCTTCGGAGGTTAGTTTTACAAATTTCTCCGAAGACTTCCCGCAAAGAGATGGTCGTGTACCACTCAGAATCGACCGTTCTAGGTTGTTCAAGCGGAACAGTGGATATGTGACCCATTCGGCCAAAGAAACAGGTGACCATTTGCATTGCTTTGCTTCTTCCACGAACAAATTTTGTTGGATTTAGCTCATCTTGGAATACCCACACGGTCGATTGCTGTTTTGTTTCCGGCTCATACGCATATATCCATGATTCGTCACCTGTCATGTCTTTTGAAGCACCACGGTCGAACTTTTTAATCATTTACTCCACTTACACTTACTCCACTTGACAGAAGCCTTTTTTTAAGCGATTGATAAATTATGGGATATTCAACGAGAATATTATTTTTCCAACTAAGTGTTCATGCAAAATGGAATGTATTGATGACATGAAACTAATGTGCAAGGATGACTCTATTTCACAATATGTCACATAACGATCTTGCATTATGAGTTCAGGCACTGCATCGGTGTTTTGTGGCACAACAACCGATTTTGGACGACCTTCACGGACGAACACCGAACTTCGACCATGATTTAATTCACTATACCAGCGATATACTGTGATGGTGCTTTATCGCCATACAAAGAACTGAGTGCATCGACACATTCTTGTTGAGATAATCCACGTTGAAAGTTGTGAAAAATAATCTAAGGAAAACTTCCTCTTGAAATTTCCATTTTTTGGTCAAATTCTGTATGAAAAAAACTCTCAGAGGTTTAAAAACTTGTGCGAGCTAAGGACTAACGAGGTCTTACCTTTTAACTTATGATTCCTAACACTGTAAATAAAACAGATATCACTTGTACACCACGTTATGAGTAGGTACGTTAATGCCAAAAAATGACAAACTTCATTATAGTGTTGCCACATTTCACCTATTGACATTAATGTTGGCATCGTATTAATGACTTAAAAGTATTTAAGTAGTAACACATAACTAGTAGTACATAACATAAAAAATCATCTGTAGGTACCTAGAAACATCAATCAACTGATAATTTATAATCCGAAAATATTCCATGGTTTTCAAATTTCAAAATTGGGCAACTGCATTTGCCGAAAAAATGAAGCTTTTCGAACTTATTTCGATCCCGTCTCAATTCGAAAAATTCAGCTTCTTATCTAGGAAAGTGAAAAGTGTATGGCAAGCTTTAGGTTAGGCAAAGCGATTTTTCGATCTCCTATTCAATATATTGTGCTGATATCTATGCACCCCTTTTATTTCATTTTAATCTTTGCTAATCTCTGTTTGAAGAAGGGGACATTGGAGTGAGGATAAGATATGGAATGAGAACAAAAACAGTGGCAGGCGTGAAAAATTGTCTTCTAAATTAGCATACGAAATGAACTAGAAAATTGGCAGTGCAAGGGCTGTCAGCGGTGATTAAAAAAATATTGTCCGATGGGAAAAATATAAAAGTGAAATCAATATCACTTAGCAGAAATAGTAGCGGAAATGTTTTATTGAAAACTCAACTAAGGCCAATGAAGTTGTCACTTGGAATACATGTGATTCACCTCTAGCAACAAAATGTCTGGATATGAAATTCACTTAGTCTGAAATATTCCTAAGCAAAGACAATAAAAAAAGTGTTTTAAATATGAGGAAAAGTAGATAGTGAAGGCACTAGCATGAAATAATAACAATTGGCACCCCTTGAAATAAACGTGTGACTCCCCATGGAAAAGATATGATAATTAATTATTTAATGATGAGTTTATATAACTGATTTTTCAATTTT